CATAGAAATCTGCCTGCCTCTGCTTCCCAAGTGCTGGGATTAAAGACATATACCATCACGCCTGCCTTGGGAAGGCAGATTTTAAAGTTATTTTACTTGGGAGGTTTTGAGGACAGCTGGAGAAGAAAGTTTCATAGCTGAAGGTGTTCATTCTCTGACTTCAACCATCTTGCTACCTATATCTGAAAGAGTCCCATGTCCTGTGTCACTGGTGTGGCCACTCCCAAAACTGCAGGAATATATTCTTTTTTTAAAAAAAAATATTTTATTTATTTATTATGTATCCAACATTCTGCTTCCATGTATATCTGCACACCAGAAGAGGGCACCAGATCTCATAATGGGTGGTTGTGAGCCACCATGTGGTTGCTGGGAATTGAACTCAGGACCTCTGGAAGAGCAGTCAGTGCTCTTAACCTCTGAGACATCTCTCCAGCCTCCCAGGAATATATTCTTAATGATGCCTTTTTTTCCCAAGATGGTCAGGAAACACACAGTGTGGGATAATGCTCACTCTGTCTCCCCTCAGCTCTTGCCCACACCAACAGACCCATTCTCCTCTGGCACACAAGCTCCCAGTCTTCCGCCAGTACATTCAAACTGGATCTTGACACTTGCGCTGTTGCCGCTCACACAGCAGACTTCTTACACTAGTCACATTTTTTCTCAAGTCTCAAGCATCACTTTCTTGGCATCTTCTGATGCTCCTTCTTAAGACACTACTTCTTTCTAGCCAGGCGGTGGTGGTACAGGCCTTTAATCCCAGCTCTGTGAGTTCGAGCCAGTCTGGTCTACAGAGCGAGTGCCAAGACAGTCAAGGCTATACAGAGAAACCCTGTCTCAAAAAACAAACAGACTGACTTCTGACATTCTCCTTTAGTTTTTGACAGTGCAGCACTCTTACTTGTACCATGTGACTCCATGTCATCTGTCTCCTGCAGCTGGTTCCTTGCCAAGGTCCAACACACACAGCTGTGCTCATACATTGCAGCCATGTAAGAAATGGAAGGAACAGCTTAAGTCCTTTCTACAAACATGGAACTTTGCTGAAGTCTGCCGATGATAGTGTTTATGCTCCGATATATTAATTTCTGAAGCTTCAGACATTACACAGAACTCTCATCTTCACTTGGCTTCCAGGGGTGCCATTTGGATTCTCACAGAGCACCTACTAATTAGACCAACTCTCTTTGTACTGATCAACTAAATTAACTTGTGTGGTGACTGAACAAAGTGAGCGAGGATGAGCACACTTTGTGTTCTGGAAACTATGCCTCGAGGCAAGGAGTGACCTTTTTCATGTCCACTTGCCTCGGCTGATGTTCATTATCCAACTCTCCCGTCAATTACGAGGGTTGAGATTGATCACATTTTCATTTCTCCTTTCACAGGGCCTCCACAGCATGCCTTGTTTTAAATTGCCTATTATTTTTGCTCAATTGTAACTTGTTCCGGGTGATCCTGCTCAGATACCCTTTGGAGGAGGGGGTGAGAAGACGTAGCAACAATGACTCAGGCACTGGGAGTCAGTGAGTAGCAGAGAGTGCTGCAGACTCGTTTATTAAGGAAGTTAGACCTGCCTTTATACCCTCTCCCAAGGTCCCATTGGCTCAGGTGGCTGACTCTGCTGCTTGTCCTTTCTCATTGGTGTCTCTGGGAATAGAGGCAGGCTTGGCTCAGGGAGAAAGTGCTGCCTTGCATGTTCATGCAGGCTGGCCTGGGCACCTGCAGCTTGGGTAGGCTGGCCACAGTTTCTCCTAATATTATAAAGGCACCTCCATCACATTACACAGACTTAATTCTTTTTAGACAACTGAAAACATGAGGGAGGTCTGTGTGTGGCAATTTTAAAGGAGTATCTAAGGTTTGTAAACAACAACCTCACTTTCCTCTTGCAAATTCCAAACATTCAATACTTCAGTCCCTAAATGCATGATCACCTTTATGTCTCCCATGGCTAGTGAGAGTGAGGGATTTCATTTTGAAGTAATAAATTTGGTTCAACACCATGATTTTCAAGAACTCTACTTGCAGAGTTCAAGGAGGCAGGGACACTGAATTTAGGCCCTGTAGTTGTAGAGACATAAAAGTGGTAGTAGTGATGAGAGCCTCAGGAGATGGGGACAACTGTATTTGAGAAAGTATTCAATCCTGTGTACAGCTCTTCCCAAACAAAAACAAACTAAAGTTTCCATGGCCAATACAGTTCTTTTCAATAGCTTCAGTTTGAGATGCCATTTGACACCCAAAGCAGATTACTCAAATGACTTGTCTTGCCCTGTAACAGTGTATGGCAGAAATAACCTGAAAGAGGAAGGCTTTGTCAGGTTCACTGTTTAAGGATGCATTCTATCACAGTGGTGGTAGGAGAAGCTCCTGCTTGTCCTAAGGAGTGTGAGAGCTCAGACCTAGAGCAGAGTCAACTATCTTCAAGCATTGAACCTTCACCCTGAAGTTCGATACCACCACCAATGCAGTATCCCCAGCTAGAAATCAAGTAGGACTCCAACACGTGGGCCATTTCACTTAGAATCTTCTTTTAGTTGCTAGGATTAAGACTGTCCTCTGAAATTTCTCTTCTGTTAGAGAGGACAAAGAATACAGGGTGTGCCTGTTGTTGCTATGAAATAGTCTACGAAAAGCAAAGCAGGCACAGGGAAGAGAATGGTGGTGTACTGAGTACCTTCACTGAGGGCAGTAGAGAAGGACAGGATGGAGTAAAAGAAGCAATAAAACATGGCAGCCCTAAGAACTGCAAGTTGCAGTGGGGTTAGAGTATCAGAAGACAGATACTACAAGAAGGCACCATGATATGTATGTAGGTACTTGTTGGGTACAGTAAGGTCTTTGCTTTTAATGATATGTATCAGAGAGATATGAGCAGAGGACAGACATGGTCTCAGCATTAAAATGTTCATGTGGCCTGTTGTGTTGAGACACCTGTGGGAGATGAGGGAAGTAGGGTGTAGGTTAATGGAGTAATTCTCAGTAAGCTAGGCTGGTCAGTAAGTACAGTGAATGCAACGTGATTTCCATGTATTACTCAGAACAGTTTTATCAGGACTAAATTCAATCTAGCCTTGGAGAAGATCCAAACTTGAATTTCAGAGTTTTATTGAATGCTATCATAAAGCTAAACTATAGACCATATATCTGAAGTAGACATACGAGCATGTGAGAAAAGATAACGCTGGATTTTGTCTGGCCCTCTAGCAGGGTAGACAGCTACCCAGGGACATGGTTGAGTCTGGAGGAGGCAGAGAATCAAGAGTGGTCTGGGATAGCTGCACTCAGCATAACCAAACAGCAAATGGTCAATTAGGACAGGTGGGTCTCGCCTGGAAATGTTGGGATCACTAGCCTAACAAAGTCACAAGCCTGCACACATTATTGAGGAGCTGTGTGGATACCATGTGACAGGTCCTGTTCTCAAGAAGCTTCCATTCTAGGGGAAACAGACTTGGCCAGTCAGGTGATAAATGCTATACAACAAAATAAAGCTGAGGTATGTGATAGAGACAATTGGTAGGGATGACCCTAAGGATGCCATCTGTAACCGACACAATGACATAAAGGAAATAAATGGAAGCTCAGAAAGCAAGCAGGTCAAGTACGTCAATCTGGTAGCCACCACCATGTTTTAACACAAGATTGGACAAACTTACTCAGGAAGTGGGTGACGATAGGAAAATTCAGACAATATAAGAACATAGTTCCTGGGCATTCTGGCATCAGTGTGGAGCTTGTTATGATGGCTTTTGGTTCTGGAACTCCAAAGAGGAAAAGGAGATGGGCTGTCAGTACAGAAAGTCCCTGTGAGCCATGGCAGCCCTTTCTGCTGCTGTGGCTCAATCTCTTGCTCACTATGGAGCTGAGTGTCCTTGCTGAAGTTTTTTTAAGTTTTTTTTTTTTTTTTAAATAAATAAAATGTTTTGCCAGAGTGTACCTAACATGTGTGTACTACCCATGGAGGCCAGAAAGGGGCATCTGGGACTGTAGTCACAAATGGCTGTGATCTGACTTATGGGTACTGGGTACTGACTGAACCTGGGTCCTCTGGAAGAGCAGCCAGTGCTCTGAACTGCTGAGTCATCTCCTCAGGCCCACAGAATGGTCGTTCTTAACACTTTCTCACACTGATGTCTCAGAACTAGGGAAATTTGTTAAAAAAAGGAGCTGCATTTCCAATCCACTTGAGTCCTACTGAACCAGTCTCTGGAACTAGATCCTGTGGGGAATGTACAGATGGCCCTCATATTCACTCAACTTCTAGGCCACTTAGCAAAGGAGAAACACTAGAAGATCAGGCGGAAGGCACATAAGAAGTGCGGTGACAGGTAAGGTGGCAAGAGCCACACCACAGTCACAGGAGGGAGGGCCCAGGAGGGGAGTGAGTCATCAAAGGCATGCAGTGTGGGAGTAAACTGGGGTGAGAAAATTCAATATGCCACTCCACAGGTGGTGGTGGCAGTGGCTGCACACTTTTAATCCCAGCACTCCAGAGGCAGAGGCAGAGGCAGGCAGATCTCTATGAGTTTGAGGCCAACACAGTCTACAGAGTAAGTTCCAGGACAGCCAGGGCTAAACAGAGAGACTCTGTCTCAAAAAACAAACAAAAAGCTGTCAAAAGGCCATCCCTAAAAATTACTTACTTTTATGGTCAGGCCTATCAATGCAGTGATTCCTTGGTTCCTGAAATGTTCTAGAATGTATTTACAGGAATGGGCTCAGATTCTGAGAAAAGATCTGTTAGCTCTAAGAAGTCCTTGTCTCTCACCTTGAGGCAAGAACAAAGGGTAAAGGAGTAGAGCAGGGTCTCCCTGCACTACAGGCCTAAGCAGCTGCCCAGAGTCCACACCTCAGCCTAAACCACCACCCCACAGCACAGCTACAACACAGATATCACCAATGCATGACAGGGAAGAGCCATGCAGAGGCACATTTTAAAATTACAACAAAAGGCCCTTTGTGAGTATGAAAAATATAGCTGACTCCATTCATTGATTTATGAAAAATAAATTTATTACATAACACCTTGTTTTTAACAATGTTCAATTTTTTATTCAGAATACTTGTGTCATTCATGTAAAATAGTTTGATACAGTACGTTGTATGTTATAGCTTTGTATTTTCCCCTCAAAAATTCTAAGGCTCTCCTACTCCTTCTCCTTTGCTGAAGTAAGGGCACCCTAAAAAAATGTGTGAACAACTTTTTAAAAAGAAAAGTCAACTGAACAAAGTTTAAAGAGCACTATACTACCCAGCTTTAAATCAGGACAAAAGAATGTGAACTGGATGCCGTGCCTTTTTAAGGAGGTTACCACTCATGCTTTTTTCATCGGAAAGCATGCTCACAAATCAGCAACACCAACGAGAAAAATAAAACACTGTCTGTGACAATCATCTCAGTTTGTTTGCTGAACCAAACAGGTTTATATCAATGACAACATATTTAATTACTATCAAATAGCAGCTTTAAGACCAGTCAAGTCATAGGTTGACAATAAAAACAAACTTCTAAGTTGGAAATTATTCTTTGGGAGTTCTGAAACCTGTCAGTAGAAACTATGCAGTTCTTTTGTACTTTCAAAACAATCCAAGCGATATTCTTGGTCATAAAACACTGATTTCTGTAGATGATGAATCAACCCACTGATAAGACACTAAAAAGAAAGGTGTACCAAAATAATCTTTTAAAGTCTCAGTTATTTTGTTAACATAATCTGTGTTTCAAGTACCAGTTAAACCTTACGTCTTGTGTGTACTATTGGTCAGATAACGCTGTTACACTGAAAGTCACCACACACGAGGACAAATGCTTGCCCTAGCACATTTCACAGCTTCAACTGCTACAGACTGTCACTGAAAACTATGCTTGGTCAGTCTGAACCCTGTCAAGTAAACTATGGAAGTAGCAAACCGACGACACAACTGTGCTAGCACTTTCTTTTCAAGTCTAACTCCAAACTTAGGTACAACCTGGAAGCTACCACCCCAATCTGTGACAACTGGTGGAACTTGGCTATTGGACATTGTGAAGATGTGGTTGTACAGTACATTCGCATGGCCCACACCAGGTTCCCGCAGAGTGCTGCAGCCAGCCCTGCAGCATGAGCAACAGTGCACTGACAGACTCCAGCACAGCTCAGTACCGATGTGTCTGATGTGAGTACTGTGGAGGCTGCTGGGAGGTAGCTGAGTATCCCATGCTGCTCTGGGGTTGTGATGTGCTTGGTCCAGGGTTGGGATAAGCAGCATGTGGATTGGAACGCTGGAAAGAAGACGAGGGGAAAATGTGATTCAGGAACTTCTTCAAGTAGCCTGGCCCCATGCCAGCAAGGCCGACAGGGGACTGAAGCGTTGTTCCAAGGAAGCAAAGATGTAAAACTTTCTCCAAGGTACTGGCTTTAGAATTAAAATAATAAAAACAAACAAACAACAACAAACTCACAACTGGCCCATACAAAACAAAACAGAAGGAAAGCAAATGAAACCCCAAGTCTTCCAACATTAGTTTAAGTTTCTCTTTAGGAAGGTTAAATATAGGACATAAAAGACACCAATTTATATGCTGGGGAGATTTTATCATATCTTGAGTCGTGAGCATGAGGACCTTAGTTTGGATATCCAGAATCCACGTAAAAGCTAGTAGGCATGGCTGCTATCTGTAATCCCAGAACTTGGGTGCAGAGATGGGATCTCCAGGGAAAGCTGGCTAGCTAGACAGTCAGCATCTGCAAGCTCCAGGTTCAGTGTGAGACACTGCCTCAGTAAATAAAGGAAATAAAGAAATAATTCAAGGAAGATACTGGATGTCAATTTAGGGTCTCCACACATCCACACACATGCACACCCATGCCCTCACATCCACACATGTGTCCAAGTATATAAACACATATACAAACACAAGCACAAAAGTCAGAACACAGCTGAGTCCTTAATGACCTGTACCCAACAATGCAAGGGCACTCACTCTTTAGTGAATGACAGAAGACTGTCAGTGATGACAACAACAAAGAGAAATAACAAGCACTGTCTATGCAGGGCTTCTATAGGCAGGCCGCCATGTTCAGCACACACAGCCATTCCAACCTTCCCAAACTTCACATTCTGATCATTGCTCCAACTCTGTGAATGTGGATGCTGTCTACTTTACCTTCTTTTTTACATTTAAGACACGGACAACATCTAGACCTCCTATTCAAGGATAACCCAAAGTAAGTGAGACGGCTAGGGGTGAAAGCCTCTGCTCTCCATCACTATTCTATACCACTCAGAAACGAAAGTAGCCACTCATCAAGTATGGATGACTGGCTAGATGCTAGAGACAGCAAGTCTAAGTGAGAGGACTTTCCAATTTCATTTTACAGGTGAAAAACACTGAAGCCAAGTATTTTCTCTCTGTGTGTGTGTGTGTGTGTGTGTGTGTACTGAGGTTGATTGATTTTATTGCTTTCCACTTTATGCTGAAGCAAGGTCTCTCATTTGAACCCAGAGCTAATTGACTTGACTAGAATCCTATCTTTGCCATGGGCCACCAAGCCACACAGCACTTACGTGGATGCTGGAGTCTGAATGCTCATGTGGGAGTGCTTTGCTTGCTGCACTGCCTCCCAGCTGCAGTAGATACTTTGTGATATACCACAGAGGTCTCAAGTTACTGGATTGCTGACCTTGGACTTTCTATTCCAAGTCTGTTCAGAAGTTGGATCCCTTTCTACTCTCCATCTCTGTAGTCTTCCATACCTGTAATATTCTATGCTGATATATTTTGACAGGTAGACCAATCTACTATAGACCACACTTTGCAACAGATCCTTTAGAAGCCCCAGAACAGCAGGTCAGTACGAGACACTTGTAATACCTGATAGTCGGAGGTCATGATGAGTCCACCTGAGGTAGTGGTAGGAGGGACAACTCTCACTTTTTTCAAGGGGGGCCCCTGTGCGTGGCCGCTGTCCTGGTTCCCCGGATGGCCAGTTCCGTTAGTGTGGTTATTGCCCTGCTGCTGCTGCTGGTTCTTCTCAATTGGTTAAACAGAAAATAGTTCAACTCAGAAGGAGAACCAAAGGTAGCCACATCCCAAAGGTCACAGAAGTGGCCACATCCCAAAGGTCACAGAGGTGGCCACAAGGAAGGCACTGCCGACTGTAATTTAATACTTACTTTGTCTCCTTTGTCATCAGGTTCTTCTTCTGTTAAAAATTCTCGTTTGGGGTAAGGGATCTGACAACCGGCAAAAACACTATTCACAAGAGGAAAGAAAAGAGCTCTATCACATGATGCCTGTTATTTCCCAGGTTTCACTTAGGTGACTCACTGTCACGTTTTAAGAAGACAGGACTTGGTCTCCATAGCTAGAGATAAAAGCATCTTTCATGCAAATCTGATACAAAAAATCCTTTAACCAATGATACTGCAGCAGGTGGTTGGAAGGTTCTTCACTGTGTAATCATAATCAATAATCACCAAACAGGACAGCTCTCATTGGTACAAAGTATTTACCACTGCTCAGTGTTTGTCTGCCCTTCTCCAGTTAAAACAAAGAAAGTAAAGAGAACATGAGGGGGCTGGAGAGATGGCTCAGTGGTTAAGAGCACTGCCTGCTCTTCCAAAGATCCTGAGTTCAATCCCCAGCAACCACATGGTAGCTCACAACCATCTGTAGTGAGATCTGGTGCCCTCTTCTGGCATGCAGACATACCTGCAGTGTTCTGCACACATGCTAAATAAATAAATGAATAAATGAATAAATCGATCTTTAAAAAAAAAAAAAGAGAGAGAACATGAGTTTATTTAGGAACACCAGAGCCCAAGTGCAATCCCTCAGAGGCATGGCAACTTAGTGTGCCAACTAAGAGGAAGAGCACTTAAAGATGCCAGCATTCAGGAAGTCAGCAAATCCACCACTTACTCTGATGTGGGAAGTGGGTCTTCTAGGAAGTAGGGGTCCTGCATGGCCTGCTCTGAGGTAATTCGCTTTATTGGGTCCATAGTGAGCAACTTCTGAAGCTGAAATCACAAGTCACAGAATTATCAGTGCATGCTCCCACAAAAACATTAGTGCACTATCCCTAAGCTTATATGTCAGTACCCATGAGGGGTGGCATGCTTCTAAAAGCTAACACTACAACATGAATGGTTTTTATTCTCTCAAATTATCAGTAACAAGATACAATTATTAATGCAACAGCACACACAATCATCTCCTGGTGACTACACTTAACACCTTCTGACCCTCCTCCCCAGTGCTTTGTCCCTTCATTATCCACACAATTTAGAATGACCAAACTTGCATTTCCTGTTGCTTTTCTTTTAACAGGAGAAAGTGTTGTAATATAAACAACGCACAAGCCACAGCAGTTAGATTTGTGTCCAAATTCAGCAAAACTGCATTATAATTAAAAAAAATAATTCTCACAGCTATACCAGGTAATCAAGTACTCAAGAGGTGCATGGAGCTAGAGGCTACCCTACTCAACTGTTTAGTCCAAACCCTGACTCAAAATTTACTGGTTGAGAGTACCTGGCAGGTCAGTTCCCCTCTTTGTAACCATATCTGTCTAGATAGAGAATAAAAATAGTACAAACTATCATAGCTTGTTTTAGTATTAAAGAAATATATGGTTCAGCATTTGTGATAGTTCTTAATAAAGAGAGCACACTGTAAGTGTGAGTAATGTAGTACACTGAGCTCATCCTTGCTACATCCAGAGATACCACACTAGTATGGAAACGCAGCACTTCTGGGTTAAATACCTTCTGGCAATGTTTGTTCCTAATGTGATATAACAAGTTCCGATCTTCTGCAAACTTCAGTGTGCCACACAAGTGTTGCAAGGATTTTTTTTTAAACTGAGAGCTGAGCCTGAGCCCTGTTCCCAGAGTCTGACAGAGAGCTGAGCCCTGTTCCCACAGCCTGACAGAGAGCTGAGCTCTGTTCCCAAAGCCTGACAGAGAGCTGAGCCCTGTTCCTAAAGCCTAATTGTCGCCATACACAAAACTCAAGTCCAAATGGATCATGGATCAAAGACCTCAACATAAATTCATACACACTGAACCTCACAGAAGAGAAAATGGGAACTAGCCTTGAATGCACTAACACAGGAGACCACTTCCTAAATATAACACAAACAGCACAAACACTGAGAGCAACAATTAATAAATGGGATCTCCTGAAACTGAGAAGCTTCTGTAAAGCAAAGGACACAGTAAACAAAACAAAACGGCAGCCTACAGAATGGGAAAATATCTTCACCAACCCTACATGTGACAGAGGGCTGAATCCAATTTAAAAATGGGGTACAGCAGGCGGATCTCTGTGAGTTCAAGACCAGCCTGGTCTACAAGAGCTAGTTCCAGGACAGCCTCCAAAGCCACAGGGAAACGCTGTCTCAAAAAAAACAAAAAGGGGGGGGGGGGGGGAGATACAGATTTAAACAGAGAATTTTCAACAAAACAATCTCAAATGGCGAAAAGACTCTTAAGGAACTGCTCAACATCCCTTAGCCATCAGGGAAATGCAAATCAAAACCTCTCTGATACTCCATCTTATACTGATCAGAATGTCTAAGATCAAAAACACCAATGACAGCTTATGCTGGAGAAGATGTGGAGAAAGGGGAATACTCCTCCACTGCTGGTGGAGTTCAAACTTGTACAGCCACTGTGGAAATCAGTACAGCAATTTCTCAGACAATTAGGGATCAACCTACCCCAAGACCCTGCAATACCACCTTTGGGCATATACCCAAAGGAGGCACATTCACACCACAAAGACATTTGTTCAACTATGTTCATAGGAGCATTATTCATAATAGCCAGAACTTGGAAACAACTGAAGAATAGATAAAGAAAATGTGCTACATTTACACAAAATCAATGGAGTACTACTCAGCAGTAAGAAACAATGACATCCTAAAATTTGCAGGCAAATGCCAAGAACTAGGAAAAAAAAAAAAGAAAAAAAAAAACCCCAGGTGAGGTAATACGAAATCAGAAAGAAAAATATAATATGTACTCACTCATAAGAGACTACCAGACATAAAACAAGATACCCAGCCTACAATCCACAACCCCAGAAAAGCTAGATCCCTCTTCCAGAAACAGATGGAAGCAGATGCAGAGTTCTACAACTAACCATTAGGCCAAACTCCTGGAGTGCAATCAAAGTGAGGGAGGAGCGATAATGTGAACTGAGGAGTCAATACTAATGATGGGAAAACCCACAGAATCAGCTGACCTGAGCTAGTAAGAGATCAGTGACTCTGCACTGTCATCTGGGGAACCAGCATAGGACTCAATTAGGCCCCCTGAACCCAGGTGACAATGCTGTGGCTTGGGTAGTATATGAGGCCACTGGCAGTGGGTCCAAGGTCTAACTCTAATGCACAAACTGACTTTGTAGAGTACATTCTATATGGAGAGATACCTTGCTCAGCCCAGACACAGGGGTGTGGGGGTGGGGAAGTGCTTTGGTCCTCCCCAAGTCTGATGGGACAGACTTAGTTGACTTCCTAGGGGAGGCCTTATCCTCTCTGAGGAGCGGGTGGGAGGAAGGAGGAATTGGGATTAGAATGCAATAAATAAATAAATAAATAAATAAATAAATAAATAAATAAATAAGTTTAAAAAAGCCAAACTGAAAGAGAACTAAGCCCTGTTCCCGGAGCCCGACAAACAGATGTGAACAGGAATCTAACGACTTGCATTTCCAATGAGTTTCCAGCTGCTTCCAGCTGGACTTGGTTTGCAAAGTAAAAAATTAACAGATGCACTGAGATTTAGGGGGTGATGACTCATAAAGGATAAAAGGCCATAAAATATTTTTAAATGCAGGGATAGTAAAACTCATTTAATTTAATGATCGTTAATCATTTCCGTGGAAGTATCTTTAGAAAGGAAATCATCTTTTGGGTTTGTTCTTTAAGATATCAACACTTGGTCAGGTGGTGGCGGCGCATGCCTTTGATTCCAGCACTCAGGAGGCCTGAGTGATTTCGAGGCCAGCCTGGTCTACAGAGAAGAGTTCCAGGACAGCCAAGGCTATAATCCTGTCTCTAAAGAGCAAACAAACAAGCTAAACAAAAAACCCCAACACTTTCAGTGGGGTTAAATCAGAACTTCTGGAAGAGATGGAGAGTATCAATAATTAAGACAGTTCACCCCATTAAAATCAGACAGAGCTGAGGTATATATAGCCTGGCACACATGGGTCCTGGGGTTAACGCCCAGAATTACAATAAACAATGAAAAAAAGTTCAACACGTAAGCCACAAGGACAGTCTCTCAGGTTCCACTAGTCTTAGACTTCAGGAAGGCAAGGGACTTGGGGACAGGCATGGCAATCCAATAATGCCTTTTCATCTGCCAATATTTTGTTTGATCAATAAGTCTTGCATCTTGAAGCATTTGACTTAATTTCCCAATTTGGATACTGTTGCAAATAAATTTGAAGAAATCATTATCATACATCTTTGATGTGGCAACATGGTGAGTTAAGCACTTCCTTGCAAAATACAATGTAACAGCCAAGGACGACAGAGAAGCAGAAATATTGGGGAGAAAAGAAAAAGCATAAGCAGATCAGGAACAGCTGTTTGCCCCGTGGTTTATAGCTGCTATGAAGGAAAGTCAGGAATCCCCATCTAAGAGTACACTGGAACACATTTTAAAGAATCTTAGGCCAAGCAAAGTGCATGCTTCCCTACACCTTTCATATGCATTTTCTGTTATAGTATCACAATGGATACTCTGCTATAAACGAAGCGAGCAACAGTTGGATCCAACCACCCTACTGGTGCGCTGGCTCTAAAAGAGTTTAGCCTATGTCCCTTTACACAACAAGCATGCTATCCCTCCAGAAAATGGAGTAAGACTGTCAGCAAAGGGCTTTCAAAACTCAATTTGACGAGGTAAAATTTTGTAAGCCATCTTGAAGGAGCTGACAGTATAAAACTGTAGGTACTGTTCAAGGTGACTATCTAAGGAAGACAAGGACTTGGATTTCATTCCCAAAAATTCATGGAAAGAACAAGTGCAGAACCACGAATAGAATGATGTCTAAATGGCAGGAGTGTTAAGTGACCACTGGTTTCATTCTGCTGCTCTCTCAGGCTTACCAAATGGAATGCTTTACTATCAGGTTTAACTTTATGCTTTTCCATATACTTGATAAGGCTGCAGTTGGTGTACCTGAAAGAGAAACATCCACATTAGATCAGAGCTGAGTTATACATTGGCTGATAGCTTCCCACATATAACTAGTTTGATCATAACCAATGAGGAACACACATCAAAGACACTTGAGCATCATAAAGCCAATTTTAGACTTCAATCAGTATCCACACTAGTCTTTGCATGTTTTTGGTTTCTGAGGTAGGGTTTCATGTAGCTCAAGCTGGCCTCCAACTCTATGTGGTATGACCCTGAACTTTTGACCCTCCTGTTTCCACTTCAGATGTTGAGATTATAGGTATGTACCACCACACCCAGCAATAATAACGACTTGCTGATTGTTTTTTTCTTTCTCTTGAGACTGGGTGTCATGTATCCCAGACTAGTCTCAAGCTCACTACAAAGCTGAGTATGACCTTGAACATGGGATTGCAGGTATGTGCCACCAAGCCCAGTGCTGGGGGATCAAACCCAGTGCTTCATGCACGCTAAGCAAGCACTACACCAACTGAACCACACTAGTCATTCCAGAGTGGGTACTGATGATGGAATTCAAGACAATTTCATGAATACATCTTAGATAGTATTTTTCCAACAGGAATTATATCTTAATAATTATTTTAAATAACATTTGTGCCAAAGGTTAAACTCAGCCTTACCAGTATAAGGTTAAAATTCACTTGTTGTATGTATTAATACTGGACTTTGCCTACCCCTGACCTTATAGCTAAATAAAGTGAAACACTCACTTTCCCCTAATTAATACTTGCTTTCAATTCTATACACTTTAAATGGGTAGGTGAGTGGCCACCAGCAAGGTTTGTATATTTGTATGTTTTTTAGCTGTGGTACTTCCCACTAATATCTGGCTTCTAGAACAAACTGAATATAGAAAGAAATGAACTGATTTTCCCTCATCTCTAAATCAGCTGCTGATGAGAGACACCTCTCTGTCAAGTTATTTTCTTACAAAATGAGAACTAACATCAAACAGTATTTACGAGTAAGTAAAATTCGTCAGTAAACTTAAGTGAATGCTGTGGCAAACTGAACATATAATTTTATTATGACTATTCTGGAAAAGTTAAAATTAACAAAGGGTCCATTTTCTTTCCAACTTACGTATTTCTTCTGAAATCTTTCATTAATGTTGAATGTTCGGGCATCTTTTTTATATCTTCCCAATCTTTATCTGTGAAATACATTGATAGATGTTTATGTTGCCTAGGCTCCTAGTCTCAAGAATGCTAACAAAGGCTACCTGACTTTGAGAGTTTTCTAAAAGCCTGGCTCTCACAGGAGTGCTCAGTTGCAGCTACATCCTGAGCTGTAAGGACAACCCGTGGCCTTCCAGCTCTACTCAAGTGTCAGCCTACACTTGTTCAGTTCCACCATAACCTGCCAGTACCGTTCTATCACTAAAAGGAAATAAATCACAAAAAAATACTTGTTGCTAAATAACCTTATTTTTCTATTAGTAAGCGCACTTATTTTTCCCCATTCATCAAATTTCTTGGTTCCGTCAGCAAGCAGTATCTTTAACTGAGAAATCTAAGATCTTTTCTCTGACTGGCTCATCACACTTTTCTAGACTACAGCCCTCTTTCACATCCTTAAAGCTCCTCCTCACATTATCAACGCAAATGGTGGGACAAAGCCAGGTACCAGTACCATGGCTACTCCTAGTATTACTGTTCGACAGTGTGAGATATAAAGACATGACAATTGCTCCAGTTAGTCTGGGGCAGCAGAAGTGCTGTGGACACATGCTAGCTAAGCTGAAGCTGGCAGCAGCTGTTACCAAGGATCTGCTAGGTGCACAGATTGTACCAGGCAGCTGGGAACACTGGCTACGTATCTTCCACAGACATCACCTAGTGTAAAGTATATATATACTTGAACTTTAAAATGGAATTTTCTCAATTCCTTATTTGCTCTAGTTTCTCTGTTTTATCAACTTCTCAAGCTAAAAACCTTAGAATAACCATTTAGTTTTCCCTCAATTATATACTTCTTTTAAAAAGTTGTATAATTGTCCTTACTATGTCTTTATGGCTATGGTACTGTTATATGTGGCTGGTTTTCTTACTTCAGTTAGGCCACTCTCACTGAAATATTTAATGTTCCACAGCCACACTAATGTTACTGAAGCAGAGCACAAACTCTGTCTACAATTCAAGTGTCTATTATGGATTCTAGCTGGCTATTTCCTGGTTTCTCATTAACTGAGCCATCTTAACTATTAAACCCATGCCAAGAATCATCCCTAACTGTGGCCCTCATTACTCCCAATCAGTCCCATATCTCCTTCCCATGGACCTCAGAAATAGTGAACTAACTTGGATACAAGAAGAAACTCCTCTTTAGCCATTGAGAAATTCCACTCAAGCCATGTCTACTTTTACAACATCCTAACAATGTAATGGTGAAGTCCTCTGTCTGTTTATCTAATTTTTTATTTTTTTATTTTTTTTTGAAACGGGGTCCCTCCACTATGTTGCTCACTCTGTCCTGAAATTTTCAAGGATAGCCTTGAACTCACAGAGATCCACCTGATGCTGCCCCTGAAGTGCTGGGATTAAAGGTGTGTTCCACCATATCAATATATTTTATTCAAGATAGTAACTGGGTCACAGGAACACCCCAATGTGTAATGAGTAAATGAAATTCTTATCCCAGTAAGGTCTTCCTAAAACTACTGTGTAATTCTGGAGAAAGTATGTCTGTGTAGTTGCTCTGCCTTTGCTGATAATTAACAATCCTACAAGGAACCATGGGATGCAAGCCCCCAGCTACTCTTACCAGTCTTAAGCTGTAGTGACCTAAGGAGCAGTTTCAGTAGAACATGATTTCAGTCACATGCTTGATTAGCCAACATCATTTAGGTACTTTCCACATATTATTATTACTATTATTTTGGACCCCTGGGCAATTTTTGGTGGCTGGTAAATTACGGTTATGTGGTATAACTAGGATCCGGGATACACCCGAGAGATGTTAACTCCAGAGAGGGGAACACACATACATTTTCTCTCTGCTGTAAAATCCACACTGTTTTAGCAAAATGTTAAAATAATAATAATAATGACAAGGGTGAGGGAGCAGAAGTGCTGTTATTCCACACGATGTGGTTCTGCACAGCACTCTACGGAACCATAACCTTCAGCCTTTGTATGCAAGCAGCAGCTATGACATGTGCTGCCAGAAAAAAAACCCTCTACTGATTATTTTAGTTTACACTGGCAGGAACAAGAGGTATCAAGTTAACCTGTTAACTCAGCTATTGTAACTATCTCATCATTTCCAATACCAAACAACAAAACAAAACAGCAGACCAAAATGAAACAAACAAAAACCTCATCGAGTTCAGAAAACTAAGTATTTTAATGCTGATATTTGAATTCTATGAATTTTGTTCTTTCACTGATTCTTTGAAAAATAAAAGTCATAAAAACTAAGAATCATGTAATACAAGCTTTCATAAGCCAAAAACACAACCTTTCCAAAGCAGATACCAAACAACAGTGATTGAGAACAAACAACAAAAGCAAGTGTGTACCTGCAGGGAATCCCATTACATTGAATATTCTGTCCAGCTGGTCATGGTGGTAAGGGTTACTAGTTTTGATGTCCTCTTGTCGACAGTGAAATATTGGTTCTGACGTTAGTAGTTCTGCAAATATACACCCTATAGCCCAAATATCTTTAAAAGAAAAAGAAAAGAAAAACAAAAACAAAAACAGGAAAGAGAAAATAAAAAGGAAAAAGGAAAGGAAAAAAGAAAAAGGAGGAAAATAAAGTGCTTCTTTCCAAAAGAAAATGCATTTTTAATTTAATGGGGAGTGTTCTTTTTTCTCTGTTTCTTAAAAAAAAAAAAAGGAGGAAAATAAAGTGCTTCTTTCCAAAAGAAAATGCATTTTTAATTTAATGGGGAGTGTTCTTTTTTCTCTGTTTCTTGCACATTAACAGTAATCCCTAGGTAAACAAAACCACTAAATACCACAGGACCCTGTAAATACACCCCCCACCCACCAAACTTTTATCCCTATGATATCTCATCCACCCAGTGACTTCGTAGAAGCCTCTGTTTATTTGTTGGATCTGGGTGAGTTCTAAATGCTTCAGACATTATCGAAGCTACACAGTCTGCATACGGAACATGGGAACCACAAACAAATAAAACTCAAACAAAACAAACAGAAAATCCACATAACCCTTGAAATTGGGCACTTGCCAGAATACAGGAACATTTTTCATGATAAAATAATTTTATCTTGTTTATTTACCTGCTAATTTTTAAATCCTATTAAGTATCATCTATGCTAACACAAACAAGAAAGACATGTATTCTAGTTCACCTCTTTATGCTATAGCAGCAGCATCACCTTTGCAAAGTAAATTAGAACACAGGAAGAAAAAAAACCACAAACCCATCCTCAAAATGGGTATGCAGGCTAAAAATTAGCAACAATTATTTATAGTAGACAAATTGCAAAGTAAATTTCCTTCATTCACGAGATATAACACAATGCAAATACTCAACAAGTGGTTTCTGAGTGACCTACACAAAACCTGGGGCAAACATCAATAACCACAGAGACAAATTACAAAAATCACTCTTATATTGAAGCTGATTGCTCAGGAGCCCGAGAAACTATTACTTAAGCAGGAAATGAGAAAATAGTGTTAATTATGAGAATTTCTAAACTTCAATACTGGAAAATATTTATTACAGTTGTTTTTTATATTTTCATACATAACATTCTTATTTCATTATATAAATTATGTTTATATTTTGGAATGACAAATGAATCTACTAATCTATTTGCATAAGGATTTATAATTTGACTATTTTTTTAATCATATAATTTTTTTCATATCAGAAAACCAAGCTGGTCAATACTATCATATTTAGAAAGTGGGTTTTTTTTCTTTTGTTTTTTGGAGACAGAGTTTCATTGTAGCTTTGGGGCTGTCCTAGAACTTGCTCTGTAGACCAGGCTGGCCTTGAACTCACAGAGATCCTCCTATCTCTGCCTCCCGAGTGCTGGGATTAAAGACGTGAGTCACCACCGCACAGCCAAGAAAAAGTTTTTAATCAAGAAACAGATTGAGCTATTTTGTTTTAGTATCAGAGGGTACATAGCATAGGAAAGCTAATAATTCTGTGATTGCATGCGCGCGCGCGCACACACACACACACACACACACACACACACACACACACACAGAGGCCTAACCTTTGACCATCTACACCACTACCTGGACAGGTGAACTAAGGAGGGTTAAAACATGGGAAATTTATACACCCAAGACACTATGATGACTGATCTGGTCAGTTACTAAGAACCCTGAAGACTGAAGGAGCAGCTTTTCCATGACAGGGTTTCTCTTTTGAAGGAAGAGCATGGTGGGTGGGAACAACAGCTACTGAATCTTGATCGACCAAACCCTGGTCATTTCTAACTTGACTGCTTTCACCTGTACCTATTTTCTATCTTTCACAATCTTGATTTAATCACCAATCACAAACTCTATCAAATGACTGAGTTTACTGCCTAAAACTTACTAATTCTTTCCAAGTTCTCTCTTTTCCTTGCTCATCCGTTTCAAAACATGCCACATCTAACTCCTTCCCTGGGAAAAGCCTGCCCACTTCCAAAAACTTCCAGAAGCTATGTGTAGCTAATGAAATGATGTAACTGTCACCGACCCAAAAATGGGGTAGAAGGGTCTGTTAAACACGGCAATCAACAGTGCTGATTCTGACAGAAGGAGTGTCCCTTCCTTTCCCTGTTCTAGCTCACTCTCACTCAGGAGAGAGCTGCACAGTCAGTGCACACTCAGCAACTGGAGGAGGAGCACTTGGGCTCAATTCTACAGTAGAACCAGTGATAGTTCACTGGGGACTGATTACAACTTTCCTTCAGTTTTCTCCTTAACACCAAACAAACAAAAAACCCAACACGCAAGTCTCTGTCCCCTAGATGGCATGCTCATGAGCCCATTATTTTCTCTCTGGTTTAATGATGTAGCTTGCAGTGCTGTCCAAATGGACAGTATCTGTTTGTAGTGGAGTATGGGAATGTGACAGTTTACCATTGTGCACTCTCCTCTCAAGTTTACATAATCTGCCAATTCCAGCAGCGAACACCACCATCAAGAGGGCATGAACATATGCTCTAAGAGCTGTCATGTTTAACTCAAAGGGCAGTGTAGCTGCTTACACTTTAGCTACCAGACACAAAGTCCAAGTGCTAGAGGGAGTTCTCAGCAGGGATCTTTAAATGGTGTGGGGGATCTGAGTACTTCACTGAACAAGCCTTGAAGGCTGCCAATGCAGGAGTAAGGTACAGGAATGAAATGGTGAAGTAGAAACTAGAACTGTCAGCTTCCTGTATACTCCCTCATTCTTATTTAAAAATACTGAAAATGGCAAGTACATGATCCCTCAGACACAAACAACTAAGAAAGACACCTCTAGCTCTTTGAGGCAATGTGTTTATAGAAATGAAGTGCTCTCCAAAAGGCATTGTGGCCAAATCAGGTATACACGGCCAGGAATCACCACCACTGAAGAAATGGCATTGGCTTTGATTCCAGTAACCTGTAACTGGAAGTCAGTTTCCTCTGTGACTCCTCCTGCAGAAGGCAGATGTTTCTATATAAAGCCAGAGAACTTTTAAAGCTAATGGTGGTGTAAGCATTTGACTCTAGCTGAATTCTCATTTTCTGAAGTAACAGTGAAGGACTAGATGGCATGTCTGACTGAACATATGCTCAGGTGTCAGCAATAAACTTGCAATTCCTATGGGGGAGCCACTACTACTCTCTTTGTTCAAAAACTGACAAAAATCACTGTGTAGAAATTCCTACTTTCCTCTAATGGAGCTTGAAAACTCTTAGGGACAAGATCCAGAATTTGCATCCATATTCAAGTTCATGCAGTAGCTATTTATTTATTTATTTGTTTGTTTGTTTATTTGCAGAGGAGAAAGAAGAGAGAGATAAATACAATTAAAGCTGTACTCTCCCAAGTTAGAAAGGCAACTAAAACTGCTGGGCTACAGAATGGGAGATACAGATAAAGCCTCAAGAGCTCAGTGCATGGGGACTAAACTATTTGTACAGAGTCTAAAATCCTACCACAAGTAATAATGCTTTGAAATATTACATTCTTTAATAAGAAAAAATATCATATTAACTGAAAAAGCCATCTTCAAATTGTTTTAGGAGTATTTTCATAGGAGATTCAAATGTGTTTAGGTAATGGCACATATTTAAAACAGTTAATAGTGTAAATATTTTTTTCTAGTTTTTAAAAAGTAAGCATTTTGGAATAAGTTTAGATTTATATAAAGCTGCAAGTAGAGAGATCTTTCCCTATCTGGCTTATCTTTATAGTTGTTTTTTCATAAAATGTGACCTCAGAGCAGTAAGGACATTAGTGAACATAAAGTTTTTGCCAAGAAGAGTCTCAGTGAATTCAAGATTAACTTAGAGGATGATGGCAAACTCCCCCTTTCCATCTGGATACTACATAGAAACACAGCCAAGATCTTAACAAATATAAACCTACAGTTTTAGACAAAACAGGTTCCTCTGTAAACAGAGACTAGGTGCTAGCAGGCTGTGGTGGCAGTAAGGTGAGGTCTGTTTGGTGTGTTCTAGATAATGTTTGGCCAATGTTGACAAGAAGGTAAGACGGTGGCCAGGCAGTGGTGGTGCACACCTTTAATCCCAGCACTCAGGAGGCAAAGGCAGGCGGATCTCTGTGTGTTTGAGGCCAGCTTGGTCTACAAGGTGAGTTCCAGGACAGCTACTGTTCTATTTGGAAAACACACAAACACGAAACAACAACAAAAGTTGGTAATGTGATGGGGTGAGTCATCCCAGAAGGCATGATCCAGGAAGCTCTCTGTGAGAAAGAAGACAGTATTTTGACCGAAGTTACACAGATGCAGACAACAAGTTTCTGGACCATGCATGGCAGATGAAAAACACCTCAGTCTATAGCGTGGTGCCTGAGCAGCACGCTGCCCTACAAAACTCTACAGAAATGTCAAACTGGAAAGGGCTGCTGTTTCAGCAGCTAGTTGGCCCTCTCCCCACTGTCTACCAATGCCCTCAGCTGTCTGATATACAGTGGTTGGGCCAGAAGCCAGAAGACTCTTTAAGTCTGTCTGGCCTCAAAACAGAAATCTCCTATGCTGGCATCTGGTCTCCCTGGGGATGACAGCTGACGGTTGGAAAACCCGCAAAGCATAATCACCAACCTATGTACCCCATTATCTAACAGTACCCAGGTGGCTTTTGCAACTTAAATACAAAGAGAAATAGAGAAAATAGGGGTCACCTAAGTAATTAAGGGACACTTAAAACCAGAAGAGAAATGAAGATGCAGATAAAGGCTGGAAAGAAAACATGGGTTCTTCTCTCAGGTTGCCTGGGAGACAGCTGACATTCAGGCTGAGCTACAGATTTTCAAAGTACAAAGAGAGTCCTGCAGGAAGAAACTGGCAAGAAGAAGCTTCCCCACTACTTAAGACACCCAAGAAGCCACAGAGGACACCTACACAGGCACTACACCGGTGTGGTGGCCAAGATGAATATGCAGAGGCCTGAACTTCTTGCTCCATCTGCAAGTAAAATTGCTTCAAGAAGTGCCACAAGAACATGTCTGTGTACTTGTAGTCTGTCCCTCAGCCCATCCATGGTGCAGCCCCCAATGGACATGAGAATAGGTAAGACAAGAGCATGGCCCTGAGCAAAACAGTGAACTTCAGTATGCTCAAGGCTTCAGAGTTACGGGCAGTAAGAAGCAGTTCCAGAAGCTCTAAAAGGACCACGGCCGACTCCCCTGAACACAGAACAATTATCTTCCAACAGGTAGTAACTAGGGTGTACAGCTAACCACAAACAAGTGTTGCAATCCCGTATTCAAAGATACTAGCAAAGCTTATAACCAATACAAAATCCATGAAAGAGTCATGGTTGGACAAGGAGTGCCTAAAAAAGGCAGAAAAGCATCAGAAGAAAAAGCACAGTGGAAAACACCAAGAGGCTCAACATCTCCTAAGATGTTCAGGAAGAGTGAAAACAGAAAACTCTGAGAAGCCAAAGGATCATATACCTTAGGAATTGTCCAGTGACACCACATATGAGCTGAATGAATATGTCCCAGAAAAATCATTGTCAAATGTGGAAATGAGAAATGGCATTTATCTCCAGTAAGGGGCAAGCCTAGGTGATTCACAGTAATCTAAGAAGGCTGGCCTGAAATTGGATTAGCCACACTGCTACCTAGAGGCAAAAGAAGTATCAGAGCACAACTTGATACTTACAACTCTAAACAACCAAGTAAATAAAGGTTTTTTTCTAGAAATACTACAAATTAGACAATTTACCTCTAAGATAATCTTCCAAAGAAAGCCACATGAGGAGAAAAGAAAGGATATAATCATGGGATGCAAAAAACACAACAGTCTAGAAGAATAAAAAGGAAAACGTCTTGGGGGGTTGGTAGAATAGGCCTAGGTTACACATCACATGAGGAGTAGATACAAGCCACCCTGTACAACAGAGCAAGCCAAAAGCCATCAATATAAAAGGAGAGGGTAAAGCACACTAAGAAAACAGTACTTCACAGTAACACTCATCCCAGTAAGATGATGAGAAAAAAAAGGACATCAGTCATACAGAAGTAGCAGAAAAAGGGCTGTGGCAGAGTGTTCCACTCACTGTACCATGGAAGCTAGCAGAGGAACTGAGAAAGAGCTGCTGGTGCCATGTCACCACTAACAAGGCTGATAAATGGGGACATGAGAAAGCAAGAGTACCATGCTCCTAACTTTAAACAAGTGCTAACTCCTCAAGTTTGCACATTTTTTTTTTTTTTTAATTTTAGAGGTATCTTTCAGAAGTTAGCATTTCTTTTGGTGGCATAAAGAACATTTGTATGAAGTTCCAGAACTTAAAGTTTTTAGTTTTCTCTTTTCATATAAAATTAAAATTTTCACTCAAAACATTCTGAACTTTTTTGTAAAGAGACGAGTGCAATTCCACGCTCCTGGGTGCTAAATGCATATATATGGGTGGTGGAATTCTGGGTTTTGTTTTTATAATTTGGTCTATTATTTGATTTAAACATGCACAAAAATTTCTCTTTCAAAAAAAAATTTAAACTCCTGTAATTTTAATTAGCCCTACTCACCAATTGCTTTGGTATAATGTCGTGCTCCAAGGAGTAATTCTGGAGCTCGGTACCAGAATGTTACAACCACTGGATCCAAATCTGCTAAAGGCTTCAAAGGTGAATTAAATAATCGGGCAAAGCCCATGTCAGCTGTAACAACAAGAAAACCACATAAGGAAACAGATAGGTCTAGTTTACTCACACAGTCCCATTTGCCAGTGTTATTTACCAAGAGTGTGCTCAGACCCTGGGCAGTGGATAAACCATCTTACTGCTTTTACTGACTGAAATGTAACAAAGCTTGAGATCACAGCTTTTTGTTTTTGTTTTTAATACACTGTCACTCAGCTTCAGGGTAAGGTTGCTCCTCTGGCAGATCTCTTTCAGGGGGGCCACACCTCTGGGGTCGAGACAGGTCAGGATATTAAGCTGTATGTCAGCTCTCAGCACTCGGGCACAGCAGAGTGGGGCTTTCCATTGTTAGCATCAGCAAACCTACTCACTGCTGTCATCAGAGCTGACAACACAGCACTTTAGTACGATTTCCTCATCTATATAGCCAGAGTTCCACTAACTTGATTTTAAAACACAAAGCACTTTTTAAATTGGAAAAGGCTTTATTTCATTCAGTCTTACAATTTTTCACATGAGACAGAAGTTCAAAAGATCACAAACCCAATCCCCCAAGTTGGCCCCCAGAGTTCATGGCACAAGTACCATGCCATCAAGCTACTTAGGTACGGACTTTGCCCTGCTAATCCATAATCCGAGACTCTGTCTCTGTATGACATCATATGCAGGGTCACTACACACAAAGACAGGATGACCCCTACTTACCACCCACTGGGAGGGGTCAAGATTTATAACCATCTGGATAAGCTTAGTTCTATTCTAACATTTTTAATTTTTTTTAATTTACTTTTATCTTATGTGCATTGCTGTTTTTGCCTGTATATCACCTGTGTGAGGGTGTTAGATCTTGGAGTTAAAGACAGTTGTGAGCTGCCATGTGGGTATTTGGAATTGAACCCAGGTCCTCTGGAAGAACGGTCAATGTTCTTAACGACTGAGCCATCTCTCTAGCCCATTCTAACATATTTTTAATGGAGTAAGATTCTCTTTTAACTGACAATTATGGATGGAGAAAGCCCAAATTTTAGCAAAGAATAAAAACCTTGAATTAGCTTACCAAATGTTTCTTTTGAAATGTCAAAACTTGAAGACACAGCATCACCCAAAACTCCCATCAGCACACACGATTATACAGAAGTATATAGAGGAGATCTTAGGTCCTATGCAAAATCTTTCATAGCCAGATGGTAAAGGACACATTTAAAATCACTCTTTGACTGGGTCTAGTCTATTCTGCATGCCCTGAACTGCCATTTGAATCTGACACTGTGACATTGGATTGAAGAGATTCCTTCAGAAGCTCATCTAAGGCCAAAAGCATTTGGTGGCCCCAAGATGAGCACTGACAGCATCAGACATCAATGGCTCAGGGTACACCAAAGAGCATCATATCTTCTCACAGCTAAGAATCTGCAAAGTCTGTATCATAAAAGAGCATTTGAAAAGTATATTTAAAAGTGGAAAGTGAGCTTTAGGGAACTCACAAAGGTGGATGAGGGGAGTGAAGAAGAGCCGAGTTTTACTGGGTTGATGAGAAGGCAGCTCAGAGCTACAGGTGCCTCTACTTCAGTGGAACTCAACCTGTGGGTTGTGACCCCTTTGTGCATTGAACCCTTCACAGGGGCCGCCTACGACCACAGGAGAAAACACAGATAGTTACATTACATCTCATAACAGTAGCAAAATTACAGTTATGGGGCTGGAGAGATGGCTCAGAGGTTAAGAGCACTGGCTGGTTTTCCAGAGGTCCAGAGTTCAATTCCCAGCATCCACATGGTGGCTCACAACAGTTATGAAGTAGCCATGAAAATAATTTTATGGTTGGGGGTCAACAACCATATGAATGGGTCACAGCATTAGGAAGGATGAGAACTACTACTCTACTTTGTATCAAACATTGCAACAGAAACTACTGTTAATTGTGTTCTGACAATTCTGTATCATAATTACACTAATTTATAATTTAATTACATGTCTTCTACTTCCAAACCAAACAAGCCAAATACATGACTAACAAATGACAAAGAAAGAAGCAACCAGTTAGGGATAATCTGTCCCTACAGACTGTCACCCTGGAGTGCCCTGATGCAGAATGCCATGAATGCCTTTGCCTTTGACAAGTCTACAGGCTGAGAGCCGTGTATGCACAGCTCTGGCAGCTCAGGATGAGCCTTGGTCAGCTCCTCAGCTGGAGGATGCAAATGAGTGCTTGTTCTCATTAACTTGGTAGGAAGACTGACAGAAGAATCACAGTGGCTGGGGACAGAGGCTACCAGCTCCACAGGTTGTTTAACTAAGGCAGAGGGTTAGAGGTAACCTGTGTGGCTTATTTTACAGCTACAGTAGTTTATTCTTTAAGGATCGTCTGACACCTGGGGGAAGGTTTTTTCTTTTACATGCATTCTTTTGAAATGTTTTTGACATTTGGAACTATGAATATGTGCATATTGATACAGAAAACAGTGACACAGCTGCCTACAACAATTTTAAAAGTGTACTGAACTGTGACTTATCAAAGTATAACATACCAATTTTTACTCTTCCTCGCTCGGGACCTTCACCCATAACTAAAATATTAGCAGGTTTCTGTGAAAACAAACAAACAAAAATCCTTTCAATAGACAGTAGTAGTTTGCCTTTAAATAAATATGTCAATGTAACATAAATCTACTTAAATAAAAACTTTTACTAAAAAATTAAAATTAAACGCAGGAAGCCACAAAAGAAACTGTATGCGTATACAGCAAAGCACAGGCCCCAAGGCAGCAGCAGACAGCTGAGGCTCCTAATCAACAGGTCTTCACTGTGGAACACTGGAAACTTAAAGCTGAGATTCTCTCCTTTTCTTTCTTTTTTGAGACACGGTTTTAGGAAGAAGCCCTGACTAGTCTGGAACTCACTATGTCGACCACAGCAGCCTTGAACTGGTGTCCATCTCCCACTTTTTGTTTTGTTTTCCAGTCTTACTCTGCATTCCTGGCTGGCTTAGAACTTGTGGTGTACACAAGCTGGCTTTGAACTTGTGGGGGTGACTTTTGCCATGTCCTTCTGAGTGGGGGGATTCTGGCAAGGGCCACCAGGTCTGACACATGCTTTCAATTATATAAAATGTTCTAAGAGTTTAAGAAAAAATTAATCTCCACAGATCATTTAATAGAAAGTAGCAAACTAATTACAGGTAAGAATTCACCTGATATTCTTTTTTGGAAGCCACAAGATTTTTAATATAAAGAAATCTAACATGGTCTCTTTCTAAACAAGTTGGCACAGTAATAGTAATTTTTTTATTAACAAGTTTTGAGATTTTTTTTTGTTTTTAAATAAAAAGGGAGATAAAGTTTAACATGAGATTGCCAAAGTGGAATTTTAGTTTTTGAATTTTAAACTCAACACACCAGACTGTCACTTACAACCTGTTAAAAGTGGTACCCCATCCGCTGACATTTGAGGACTGTCTTCCTCAGGAAGAGAGGAAGGAAGTGGCACTGGCTTCTCCTTCAAACCTTATCCTGCTACCCTTCCTACTACTAACACAGCTTCAGTTTTGCCAATCTGATAAAGAGAAGTAAAACTAAATTGGAGTGTCTCTCAAATATTAGCCTAAACTTTAGAAAGCAAATTAGAGGGGCTGGAGAGGTGGCTCAGCATTGGTTACTCTTCCAAAGGATCCAGGTTTGATTCCCAACACCGACACAGCAGCTCACAGCTGTCTCTAACTCCAGTTCCAGGAGATCCAACACCCTCATACACACAAAACTCCAAAGCACATGAAGTATAAATAGATAAACCATTAAAAAACCAAATTAGAGGGGCTGGAGAGATGGCTCAGTGGTTAAGAACACTGGCTGTCCTTCCAGAAGTCCTGAGTTCAATTCCCAGCAACCACATGGCAGCTCACAACCATCTGTAATGAGATCTGGTGTCCTCTTCTGGTGTGGATGAAAACAAAGCACTCATACACATAAAATAAATAAAAAAATATAAAAAAAAACAAATTAGAGATTTTGATAAAGATTGTTTAAAGTGGCTTAAAGAGCCACTTTATGGGCTTCTACAGCCATCACTGGAGATGGCTCCAGGGCATACATCATCAGTACACTGTCCTATTAAATCCCAAAAGTCAAAATTAGTTCTTTTAAGAAGCCAAAGGAAAAACAAATGCTGCTGCTGAAATGGCAGAGGTTACAAATTATTCCTAGTTTCTTTCTTTCTTTCTTTCTTTCTTTCTTTCTTTCTTTCTTTCTTTCTTCCTTCCTTCCTTCCTTCCTTTCTTTTTTCTTTTTTGGTTTTTTGAGACAGGGTTTCTCTATGGCTTTGGTCCTGGAACTCAGTCTGTAGACCAGGCTAGCCTTGAACTCACAGAGATCCACCAGCCTCTGCCTCTCAAGTGCTGGGATTAAAGGTGTGCACCACCAATGCCCGGCTATTCCTAGTTTCTTAGGATGAGGCAACTCAGCACCAGAAAGCAAATGACTAGAAGACAGGTGCAGTGTAGAGTCTACTGTCAACACCCCAGTCCCTCCTAACAGCATTCTAAGGCGGAGTTCTTGGATCAGTTTATCTGGCTATCAACATCATCATCACTGATTTTATTTAACATAAGAAATTTTGAGATCTTTGTCATCATCACATTCTTCACCTGGGGCAGCTGGCCAAGTGCCAAACCTGAGTGTGACACTAATTATGTTTCTAGTGAGTTTGTTCAGTGAGCTGATGCTGTCCAGAGGGTGGAACTGTCTCCTTACACTGCAGCCATCACTCAATACTGGGTCAGTCTCTGTGGAGTCAGTGATTGCATTCAGCGAGGGAAATTCTGGCCTCAACTCAAAACACCACAGGGCATGACCATGAATGGAATTCTCTTCTTGGGGTTCTAAGCCACCTGATGCATGTCATCTCCTTAACCTTATTTTGAGTCTCTTCCCATCAAACCCATCTTCTGTACCATTGCTAGGGGTTGTGTTTCTAAAAGACAAATGTGATTATGTCACAACCGTTGCTAGAATCTTCTATAGCAGCATGGTAAACACTACACAAAGACTAGGAAAAACAGAACACAACACAATGCAGACTGTGATTAGAATCAGGTGTTATTTATTGGTTTTAGATATGATTTCATGTGTCCTCAAACTTATTAGTAGCTGAGGACATTATATTTCTAACCCGCCCCCACCACACACCAGGTTTATGTGGTAGTGTGCACAGAACCAGGACTTTGTGCACACTGGGCAAGCATTCTACCAACTGAGTTACATCCCAACCCTAGAACTAGGTTTTTTTTTGTTTTTTTTTTTAAGTTTCTGTGAATAAAGATTAGAACAAAGGTGTTAAAGTAACAGAGAACATGGATCATTTTCTCAAAAAACCCTTAAGATAATTCTGTGTTATTGCTATTACAACATTCCTGCACGGCTATAGAGATGGATGGCTCTGCAGTTAAGAGCCCTGGCCTGGCCGGGCGTTGGTGGCGCATGCCTTTAATCCCAGCACTTGGGAGGCAGAGGCAGGCAGATCCCTGTGAGTTCCAGGACAGCCTGGCATCCAGAGCGAGTGCCAGGATAGGGTTCAAAGCCACAAAAAAAAACCCTGTCCCAAAAAACCAAAAAAAAAAAAAAAAAAAAAAAAAAAAAACCCCTGCCAGTGAGAAGGCTGGGGCTCAGACCCTGCCACCCACAAAGCAAGCTGGGATCCCATGTACCTGAACTCTACTCCAAGAGGAGCACAGACAGGCTGGGGCTTGCTGGCTTCTATCCTATCTATCCGAGAGCAAGTCCCAGGTTCAGCAAGAGACCTTGCCTCAAAGGAATACACGGAGAATGATAGACAAGGGCACCTACTACTCTCTTCTGGCCTCCTTCATCACATGAGCGCTCTCTCTCTCTCTCTCTCTCTCTCTCTCTCTCTCTCTCTCTGCAACTTTCATCAACTCCTCCCTGGATTAGATCTGCCCTTGCAATGGTACACATAACACCTTCCAGCTGGTTCCTACTACGTGTAGCCCACCACTACCAACCGCTCTGTGCATCCTCTGTTCTCTGGGTAGACCATGGCATCTCTAACTCTAATTGGTGTGCCATGCCTGAAAGGGATTTTTTCCCTGTGTATTATTTGATAAAAATAAACATTTTTTTCTTTTCCTCACTGACAGAAATAACAAAAACATTCTGAATGTAAACAATTCCAATGTCACACAGAGTTTAAGTCTCTTTTATTGACCCTCCTCTACCCACAACAAATCCTACCAGATTTTCCAAAGCTACAAGCAGATTAACTGCTTTGCTGTGATGGAGTTAGAGCACATTCCTGACCAACCCTAGAAAATTATGTCCCTATCTGACAAAAGCACAATCATAACTATTCTCCTGTGGCTTTAAGTAAAATGGAAAGACTTCTCTCCATAAACATTTTCCTCCCCACGTAGCAGACCCTTGAAGCCACCAGATGGGAACACTGACCTAGTCTGGCACCAAGCAAAGGGGAAAACCTCTGGCTTCACCTTAGTTTCTTTTTATTCCTTCCTTCGAACAAGATCTCATTATATACAGTCCTGGCTGTCCTGGAACTAACTCGCTCTGTAGACCACGCTGGCCTTGAGATCCACCAACCTCTGCCTCTTGAGTGCCCAGCCAGTTTCTTTTTATTCTAAACTTACATGACCAATCAAGTTTTGAACCTGAGCTTAAGAACAGCTATGGAATAGTTTCTTTTGTCAAGGTCCAGCCTGGCATTTGTGTTTGTGGCCAAATTTCTACAATTAATTTTTAAAGTTATTTATTTTATGTGCATGAGGTTTTTTTTTGCTCGAATGCATGCATGCATGTATACATGCATGTCTGCTGCCCAGAGAGGTCAGAAGAGGATCTTGGATCACCTGGAATTGGAGCTATAGAGGCTATAAATCACTATGTGGGCAATGGAAATCAAACCCTGGTTCTCTCAAACAGCAACAAGATCCATAAACCAACGAACCATCTCTCCAGTCCCTAGTATTACAATTTTCTTTGCTAGGTTACTTCCTATCTGGTTATAATCTGAAACCCGTCTTTGGGCAGAAAGCCCACTTAGCCAATGTTTTAGTTTTCTTACAATACTCTTAAAAAAACTTTTGGACAGAGGGCCTCCCTCTGCTGCCCAGGCTGACCTTGAACTCCTGGGCTCATGGGATTCTCAGGCTTAACCTCTCAATTAATGGGAATATGGGTGTGCACCTTGCAGAGTCACTTACTTTTAAATTGTTTTAGACTTATTTGGACATGCTATATCCAGGGTGTGTGTGTGTGCGTGTGTGTGTAAAGAGAGAAAGAGGGAAAAAAGAAGGGAAGGAAGGAGAGGGAGAGAGGAAATGGGGGTGAGAGAAAACAGTTGTGTTGTATGACTAGTCTTAACAAACCCTTGGATGTTATTGTTTAGTCAGTATTAAGGAAGTTTCCAAAAGATTTTGTAGGTAATTTTACTTCATTACTCAGTGCTATACACACTAAGATGATAACTTAGTCTCCAATAAAACTAGTTTCTTCCCTTCCTGTGTCAGTAGGACAATCTGGGAGTTTAGTTCCAAAGCCAGGACCTCCCTCCATGCAGTCCTA